GGTGGGCGGATCACTTGAGGCCAGGAATTTGAGAGCAGCCTGGGCAACATAATGAGACCCCATCTCTACAAAAAATTAAAAATTAGTCAGACTTGGTGTGTTGTGCTTGTAGTCCCAGCTGCTTGGGAACAAGAGGCGAGAAGATTGCTTGAGCCCAGGGGTTTGAAGCTGCAGTGAGCTCTGATCCCACCACTGCACTCCAGCCTGGGTGGCAGAACAAGACCCCACCTGAAAAAAAAAAATTGATACATCATAGTCAGTGACTTTTAAACTTAATTCTTAATGTTCTATATTGCTAATATGGTTAAATTACAAATATGTAAAAATTCTTCACATATTAAGGCACCTTACTAATTTTCAGGAAAAACAGGAAATGCAAGTGACTATTACAGAACAATAAAAACACTAGTCATGAATGAGCATTGCCTAAACACCAAGCAAGTTTCTTTGTCTTTTACTTTCAAATTCTCAGTAGGTTTATAAGAGAAGATAATATTTTCTCTGGTTTATAAAGGAGAAAACAGGGTAAGAGAGCTTTAGTTAATTTTCACAAGCTATTTAATCGTGGCAGTGACAGCCAAATTCATAAACTTTTAAATTATGTTTCAGATTGCCTCATTTATGTGAGTTTGCTGTGGAAATAAGTAAAGTTTATATAGTAAAATAGATTCTCCACCTTCTTTTTCAGTCAAACTCATGCATTGGAATTTCAGTAACAATGATTACAAGTATTTTAATGCCAAGAAATATTTCCACTGTAGATGTCATAGCGCTTTAAGTACCTTAATAATTGATGGCATGTTTTCCCAATGTTAAAATTTTCTAAGATTTTATTTTCCCAATTTTTTCCTCCATGTAAGTGTCTGTAGTTCCTTTCCATGGCTTCTGATAATCTTATAGGAAACAACTCAAGGGCATCTTAAATGTGGTATGTTGTAACGGTAAAAGCAGGGACAAAATTCTGATTTTTAATTTAATGTTATTTTCTCAATGTAAAAAAAGGCCACCAAAATGAAATGGGGTAGGATGGTGATATTGTCAAATTTTATTTCAAAATTTACTTGTGATTGTTAGAAATAATTGAACAGACTGAATAATCTGAATTTACTTTTACTCGATATATATATATGTGTTTATATTAATCAAAGGACAAATATACAAACTTTTCTTATATTTTAAAACACTGTATTATATTGAATATGTTACCTCACTTAGTGTAATTCTGCCTGACATCAATTTTCAATGGTTGAAGTTTTTAAAATTAAAAATGTGGCCGCGTGCGGTGGCTCACGTGTGTAATCCTAGCACTTTGGGAGGCTGAGGCAGACAGATCACGTAAGCTCAGGAGTTTAAGACCAGCCTGAGCAACATGGCAAAGCCTTGTTACAAAAGTTACAGCTACTCGGGAGGCAGAGATGGGAGGATCGCCTGATCCCGGGGAGGTTAAGGCTGCAATGAACCAAGATCGTACCACAGCACTCCAGCCTGGATGACAGAGTGAGACCTCATCTCAAAACACATAAAAATAAAAAAGGTTATAAGGAAGTATTATGATTCAGTAAAAGTATACTTATAGTCTTTTTTTCTTAAATTTAAATTAATGTCTTGGACTGGAAAGACACTTAGAATGACAGTGGTTGCTTTTAGAGAGAAAATATAAGTTACTTCCACGTTGTTTTATTATTTCATATCTTAATGAATAACATCAGATATTTATTCTTTATTCTAGATTTTTTTTATCTTTAAATTTCTCCCCCAAAAGAAAACCAAGTAAATATATCAGGAAAAACATCTTTTATTTTTCCTGATTAAGTGATAATCTACGGTTTTTCTTATGAAGTGCTTAGAGGCTAGAAAGTTATTAGAAAAATCCAGAATGCTGCTATGTGTGCGTTTACACTAAATATTTTTAAACTAATTTTATTATCTTACATATGTTTCTGGGGGCTATTCTTCACATTAAATTGCTTATAAACACGGATATTTGATCATGGTCAGATTTGCACCATTAGAGTTTAACTGATAACTGGATTTCTAACTAAAATATTAGGGGCATTATGGCAAAGTAAAATATCAACAACAATTTTTAAAAAACCCACACAGAAATAGGATGATACATTTTTTTCTCTGCAGCTTATTAAATCTGTGCTCAAGAAAGGTCAAGAGACTTAACCTCTCTGAGTACAAATTTCTCATCTTTAAAATAGTTATAATATCTTCTTAACAGAACCATATTGAGGATTAGAAGGAAAAAAAAGAGAAGATGAGAGAGCACCTAACACAGTGCCAGCCACATGATAAATACTAATTTACTACATGAATTTATTTTGAAACTGTCTTAAAAAATAGTATGTAGTGATAACCACTAATTATTTGGTAATATATAACAGAATACTCAAGGCAAGATTTTGGAAAGATTCGAATGTGGCTTCTTAATTATATATTATATCCTAATTATCTATATGTATTGTATGTCTGATTACTAGTCAGTTAGAAAAAAGACAGAATATTCCCCTCCTTCAAACTATGCCAGGCTTAAAAACAATGGAAATTACTTAGATGGGAGAGAATGGAAATGAATGAGGACAAATTATCATCACTTGTTTAAATTATACTTAATTATTGAAGGAGTGATCTTTAAAAATTCATCATCATCTTACATTTTAGTAGCCTTTAATAGAAGCCTGACAGATTTCTATTAAAATAGAGAAATTGCTGAATTTCACTACTTAGAAAATTGTAATATATAAGACAGAAACGTGATATATGGTTTTAATTTATTCTAGTACTTCCAGTCTTCACAAAATGAATATTCACAAGTTGACTGATTTGATTGTAACTAAATCTAAATAAATGATTTATGAAGAGAACAAAATTGAATACATTAGAATACCATGAGGCAAATGCTATCCAAGGGACATAATTGATAAACGGAAAAAATTTACATCTGACAGCCAGCATCCATTTCCAGATATTCCTAGAGCAGGCATGGAACTTGCTATGTCATATGGACTAGATCACTGATTTTAGCATATAGATTTCTGAAACTTGAGCAAAAGTTTATTCTGGCCTTATAGGTCCAAAATGATAGAACCACCACAATGACTTTATTTTTCTAGCACATATAAATGTTATCACTTTTTATTTGTTTAGCAAATACTTGGAAAATTTACCCTTTGTCCTCCTAACTCCCATAGCAAGCCTCTGCTAAGTGAAGAGAAAAAAAGTAAGCTCTCATTAACTGAGTCACCTATTTATAGACATTATATGACACATTTTACATTTCTGTGTGTTATTTCATGCTCACAGCAATGTTGTAAGACAGGTGTTGACGGTGCTTTACTCTGCAGAAGAAAATAGTGATACTCAGTTACATATATTTTTCTTTGTATCTGTTTAAATATACTTTAAGTTCGGGGATACATGTGCAGAATGTGCAGGTTTGTTTTGTAGGTATACATGTGCAATGGTGGTTAAGTCATCTACATTAGATATTTCTCCTAATGCTATACCTTCCCTAAGCCCCACCCCCTGTTATCCCTCCCCCAGCCCCTCACCCCCCAGCAGGCCCTGGTGTGTGATGTACCCCTCCCTGTGTCCATGCATTCTCATTGTTCCATAGCCACTTATGAGTGAGAACATGTGGTGTTTGTGTTCTTGTGTAAGTTTGCTGAGAATGATGGTTTCCTGCTTTATCTATGGCCCTGCAAAGGACATAAACTCATTCTTTTTCTTTGGCTGCATGGTATTCTGTGGTGTACATGTGCCACATTTTCCCTGTCCAGTCTATCCTGGATGGGCATTTGGGTTGGTTCCAAGTCTGTGCTATTGTGAACAGTGTCATAATAAACATACGTGTGCATGTTTCTTTATAATAGAATGATTTATAATCCTTTGGGTATATACCTGGTAATGGGATTGCTGGGTCAAATGGTATTTCTGGTTCTAGATCCTTGAGGAATCGCCACACTGTCTTCCACAATGGTTGAACTAATTTACACTCCCGCCAACAGTGTAAAAGTGTTCCTATTTCTCCACATCCTCTGCAGCATCTGTTGTCTCCTGATTTTTTAATGATCGCTATTCTTACTGGCATGAGATGGTATCTCAATACGGTTTTGATTTGCATTTCTCTAATGACCAGCGATGATGAGCTTTTTTTCATTTGTTTGTTGGCTGCATAAATGTCTTCTTTTGAAAAGTGTCTGTTCATATCCTTTGCCCACTTTTTGATGGGGTTGTTTGTTTTGTTTTGTTTTTTCTTGTAAATTTGTTTTACTTCTTTGTAGATTCTCGATATTATCCCCTTTTCAGATGGGTAGATTACAAAATTTTTTTCCCATTCTGTCAATTGCTGATAGAATGATACTCTAATGATAGTTTCTTTTCCTGTGCAGAAGCTCTTTAATTAGATTCCATTTGTCTATTTTGGCTTATGTTGCCATTGCTTTTGGTGTTTTAGTCATGAAGTCCTTGCCCATGCCTATGGTCCTGAATGGTATTGCCTAGGTTTTTTTCTAGGGTTTTTATGACGTTTGGTCTTATGTTTAAATCTTCAATCCATCTCGAGTTAATTTTTGTATTTACACAGTATTAAAGTTTAGATTCAAAGTCAGATTTGTTTCATTTATGACACTGCTTCTTAAATGCTGAAAAATTGTTATATGATTTTTCCATTTATTTCCTTACAGGGACACATATGTTCTGAAATTATTCTATGCAACTTTTGCTTTTGGTTTGTGGTTAATATTTACATAATGATACATGATCATTCAAACATGAATAGTATCAGCACCCTGTGTTTTTTGGCAAAAGAAAGTATATGTATCAAAACTATTAACTTATAGCACAACTTTTAATCTATGCAGTTTATTATTCAGTCTTCAGATAAACAGTACAAAACCTAGATAAGAAAGTGAAATGAATTATTTAGGTCAAACCGGCTTTATATGTGCGTCCACTATGCATAATTTATCAAGAATTTTCTCCTTTTTTTGTAGGGATGACTTGTCAAGCTCGAACATCATATACTGAAGATGAAGTTCTTTGGGGTCATCGTTTTTTTCCTGTAATTTCCTTAGAAGAGGGATTCTTTAAAGTTGATTACTCTCAGTTCCATGCAACATTTGAAGTTCCCACCCCACCTTACAGTGTGAAAGAGCAGGAGGAAATGCTTCTCATGTCGTCCCCTTTAATAGCACCAGCCATAACTAATAGCAAAGAAAGACATAATTCTGTGGAATGCTTAGATGGACTAGATGACATTACTACAAAACTACCATCTAAGCTGCAGAAAATTACTGGAAGAGAAGACTTTCCCAAAAAACTCTTGAGGATGAGTTCTACAACTTCAGAAAAAGCCTACAGCTTGGGAGACTTGCCCATGAAACTTCAACGAATAAGTTCAGTTCCAGGCAACTCAGAAGAAAAACTGGTATCTAAAACCACAAAGATGTTATCAGATCCCATGAGCCAGTCTGTGGCTGATTTGCCACCAAAGCTTCAAAAGATGGCTGGAGGAGCAGCTAGGATGGAAGGGAACCTTCCAGCCAAATTAAGAAAAATGAACTCTGATCGCTTCACATAACAAAGCACTCCCTTAGAAATTATTTAATGTTTGATTTAGTAATAGTCCAATATTTGGCAATGAGGTAACTCTCCCTAAGGAATCTGAAAGTATATTTTCCTCCCAGTTCTACAAGCATATTTGAGAACCCTTCCTTTCCCAAGTATTGCTAATGTGCAGAAAGCCACAGTTATGAAGGGAGGACATAATAAGGAAGTTATTTATGGGCATGTATTATCACATCAAGCATGCAATAATGTGCAAATTTTGCATTTAGTTTTATGGCATGATTTATATATGGCATATTTATATTGTATATTCCGAAAAAAAAAATATATATATATATTTAAAGGGGAGAAACTCTCCCCAACATTTCTAACATATGTATTAAGCCAAACATGAGTGAATAGCTTTCAGGGCGATAAAACTAAATATATGTCTGTGTGTGTGTGTATGTATACACACATATACATATATATATATACATACACATACATACATACATATATATCTGATAAAATTGTGATGTTTTGTTCAAAGTTGTAGTTCTTGTGCATGTTTACTTTATTAGAGTAGGAAGGCTACTGGCATTAATTATTAATACCAAATATTTTAGCCTTAAATTTTTGTCATTTTAAAATCTGATTTAATGTTTTCTGCTGTTTAAGGTCCTGGGAGGCTTTCAATTGTATTTTATATGAGAGAATCACACAAGTTTGTGCTATTTATGGCCCTGCAAAAATATAATCATTACATGTTTAATTGTAAATTTTAGAGCATACCAGTACTAGTATAGCATTGAACATTTCTTATGATTTTTAAAAGTTGCTAGTACTGGGGAGAAATAATTGTTGATTAATTTGAGAATTATTCTTTTCCTAGACGAATTAAAATCTGGAAATCTGTTCTGTATAAGATCTAATACAAAGATGAGCTCTGAACAAACGCTGAATCATTGTTAATAGACAGTAGCCAAGTTATATTGAATATATCAGAATCTGTGTGAAGTTACACATTAATGGTCCCTGTTTCAAACTAAGTCAATTGGAAACATTTTCATTCTTTTTTCCGGAAATTACCTTCATTTAAAAAACCAATCATTTTAAGAAGACATGACAATGCAATGAAACAGATGATAAATATTTATGCTTAAAATATGTATGTCTAATTGAGTCTCCTTTTTATTCTGTTTTCTTGTTTATGACATTTGTTGTAACAGGATAGACTTTTTCCTCACCTAGGGAACCTATCCCATGCCTGTCACTTATCGTTCTGGAGGAAGTTTTTGCACAGACCTGAAAGAGATTAAAATTAGATAAATTGAAGATATCTTAGACACAGTTTTTTGGTGAACACACTGATTTTATTGTTGTCTTGGATCCCTGGTCTACCCAAATAATTTTAACAGTACTGTTTGTCTGATCCCAAAGTCTGATATTTATGACTCACTAGCAGGAATCAAAACTAGTGATCAGTAGAACACTTTCAGAATAAAAATTTGGAATGCAGAGACTTTTATGAAAATTTAAAAGTGCTCCTTAACAGAATATCACGGGTTTTCCTATGAAACTTCTGTAAGAATTGTAATTTAAGTCTGCCCCAAATTAAAAAAAATTCTCATTAATATGTAAGTCGTTAATTGCTAGTTTGGGCTCTTATTATTTCCTATTTTTTAACAATATTGTGATAATTTTATTATTGGCAAATTATTCATCAACACTTCATTGACTATAATAATACCTTCTGGCTACCTCTGTATCAACCAAATTCTGTAGGTGCAAATATATACCAGGGAATTGTTACTGGCAAAATGATCAGTCTTGAGTGTGCATCCACTGTGAATGGAGCAAATTGCCCTATACCCATTAATAACCAAGCTTTCTGATTTGGTGGATGTAGGGAACAAAATAGTGACAGAGAAAGAAAGGGGTCCACAGGGCATGATGTATTTATCAGCAGTGGAAAAAAGTGCACGGATCATTTAGTCCAAGAACTTAAAACTAAATAGAGCCATAATTTACTTTGGAGAGTCATTTTAATTTGTCTTTGGTCCCAAGGAGAAGATGGAACCAAAAACAAACTCTCCAAGTATATTCACACATTCAAAAAAATTTTTTGTATGCCTTCTATATCATAGGCATTTTTAGTTCCTGGGGATTTGGACATAACTAAGTCAGAGGAGGTCATTGCTCACCATGAACACTGTATATCAGAAGGAGAGTGGGGAGGAGACAAAAACAAGACCACTTCAGACAGTCAAAATATCAGTTAAGAGAATGAAAACAGGCCAGGCACCGTGGCTCACGCCTGTAATCCCAGTGCTTTGGGAGACCGAGGTGGGTGGATCCCTGAGGTCAAGAATTTGAGACCAGCCTGAACAACATGGCGAATTCCTGTCTTTACTAAAAATACAAAAATTAGCTGGGTGTGGTGGCAGGTGCTTATAACCCCAGCTACTGGAGAAGCTGAGGCAGGAGAATCGCTTGAACCTGGGAAGCGGAGGTTGCAGTGAGCTGAGATTGCACCACTGCACTCAGCCTGGGTGACAGAGCGAGACTCCATCACAACATCTAAAAAAAAAAAAAAAAAAAAAAAAAGAAGAAGAAAAAAGAGTGAAAACAGGGTAACGTAATGCAAAGTGACTGTGTGGAGTAAGAACTGATTAATTTAGAAAATGTGACTGGCTCAGGATGGGGATAATATGTGAACAGAACTCTATCTGATTGGTGAGAAAGAACTACTGTTGTTGAAATTACTTTATCTGAGTGAATGCTATTCTTTTATCTTTTCCACACGTGTGTGGGAAAGGTATGATTTCTGCATGTAATTGCAGTTTAACTTTTATTTCTAGGTTGATGATAGGTCCCAGTTTACCCAGGAAAATTCCAGTTTATACCTGTTGTACCTGTGTAATTATTTGTAGCACTCCCTTTCACTCTTATAATGTCTTGGTTTGGATGATACATGGTGAAGTTTTTGTTGAAACTAAATTATGAAGTCTGATATATTTGGATAAAAATAAAGAATTGCTTTTCTTCTCCTTTTGCTGACTTTTTGACACATCATTCTAAGCAAAATCATCTCAGCTTCATATATTTCAGCCTGAAGTACTTCTTACCAAAGTTATTTCATGTAACATTTGTTCAATATGTTCGTGATATGTCTTTCAGCAATGAAAAGTTATGCATTTTACTGAATGAATGAAAACTTAGCCTCTGTTATTTCCATTTCTGAAAGTTGTAAGAGCTCACATCAAAGAAAGTAAAAGTCAATTTAAGCCTAGATAATTTTCAGCTCACCAATGTGATGGCTATTGGAAAGGAAAACCTAATATGATCATTGAACTGAATAACTCTACGTGTAAACAGGTGGAGACTAGACTTTATTTATTAGCATTTTCATGGTATAGGTCCTGTTATAGTAAGATATTTCATTCTATTTATCAAAATGGTGTAAATAAAAGAAATATAATTATTTTGATAATGCTTATCTTCAACTTAAATATTTATTCTTTTCAGAAATATGTGAATACACTTGTAAATATATACAAAATGAAAAATAAGGATATTTTATCATTAATTATTTCTGAAAGATTCTTCTTATGCTGTTTTAAATTTATCTACGTATGGCTTAAAGTATTATGAAAAGAGCCTTTTTGTCTGGACAAAATGGGCTCATAATACAGTATTTCTATTGGAGGAAGACTGGGGTCATGGGAAAACTGGCTTACATTCTATTAGTTCTTACATTCTTCAGAATTTATGTTTGAATTACATTGTACATAAAATCAGCATCAACCTAATTGCAATTTCTGGCATGCAATTTATAATTATTTAAGTGTACAAGGTCATTTAGGTTCAAAGAAACAAACTCATGTATTCAATACTGCAAGTTTAATTTTATAAAAAATGATATTAAACTTTTGAAACATGATTGGGTTTAATTTTTACAGTGTGCTCATCCTTTTTACACTCTTCACCACTTAATTAGTCACATTTCTTGACTCAGTTTATCAAAAGACTCTTAATTCCTAAAAGACAATAATTAATTCCATCACAAGTCATTCCTTGATAATTCCTTTTATTTGGGCTGCTTATTGATAAGATGCTTCAGCAATACGGAATGTCAACTTAGTAATGCAGATACTCAGGACCTACGTTGCTTGGAGGAAGCTTCATGCTTATCCTATCCCTTGCTGAACCAGTGTTTTAAACACTACAGTAAGTAAAGCAGACAAATGCATAGTTTTTCTAATTTTGTTTATCCAATCATCTTTTAATAAAGCATTCAGTTGCTTCACTTGTGTTTCATAGAAAAATGTGTTCTGAACCTTGGATCAGATCAGTTTTGTGATGTGTAATGTGCCCAACTCCCAGGCATCTCATAGAATTAATCTAGAAAAGCTAAGTTGCCACAGCTTCTGACCTAGTGGAGTTCCATAGGGATGGTCTTTTGTCATTTAGTAGAATTGCTAGGGTTGTTCCTCAATATATCTTTTGTTGTTGTTGTTTACAATTTTCTTCTGGACTTTCTTGTTGCTTAAAAGTCTATTGTATGTCTGATTGCGGTGTTTCAGAGAGGAGAATATTTGCATATTCTCTTTGACTTAAGTATTCTTCAGTTTAACTGTGATTTCTTTGGGATTTTTAAAATCTACTCGTAAAGCTTTCTTGAAATCATGGCTGTTTCAGAATATCCAGGACTGTTTCTGAGCAATGGATGCTATTCAGAACAAATATAGTATGCCTACTATATCCTTAGTATCCTATTGTTTACTAAGGACAAAATCCATACTTCTATTTATCCTCTCCCATCTCTGAATGTGTCAATCACATGCATAGTGACTTGCACATGTTATTTGAATATTCAAAACAATTCTGCATGGTAAAGATCATCCCTATTTTACAGTTGAAGAAATTTATTCTCAGTTAGGCTGTTTAGCGGGCTTTTTAATTAGATCCATAAACATGAGGTGTAGCTTCTGCTCCCTGGGAGTGTAAAGACTAAAGAGAATCCCTTTTTTAAACAACTATGTATTCCAGAAAATTTGGATGCATGAGTATAAATATTCAATGACTGTGTGCAATGGCTTCTAACCTAACAGAATGCCTTGTCCATTGGAGTTCGTGTTTTTCCTTGCTGTGATTTGGAGAAGTGGTGGATGGAAAATGACAGCAGTGTTAGGAGTAGCTGTGGTCAGAATTGTGTGTTGGCTAAAGGAAAAAAAAGTATATAGAAAGCGAGGACAGATAAAAATGATGAAAATGAGGAGGAAAGTAAATACTTGAAGTGTTGCACAAAGAAATACATAAGTGGCAAAGAGGTAAAAATGAAAAAGGTAAGCTGAAAAATCAAGAGTCCACTGGATACTGAAAATAATATTTCAAATAAGCAGAAAGTTGCTTCAAACCCAGGTACCTCAGATTCAGAGTTTTTTTGTTTTTTGTTTTTAAATGATACAGTAAGATTTTGTTGTATTTCCCTCATGTATTTATTAAACAAATAAAGTGTCATAGAAATCTAAAATAGGCCAGGCATAGTGGCTCACCTATAATCTCAGCACTTTGGGAGGCCAAGGCAGGAGGATTGCTTGAGCCCAGGGGTTTGAGACCAGCCTGGGCAATAGTCAGACCTCATCTCTACTAACAATACGTTTAAAAAAATTGGCTGGGCATAGTGGCATGTGCCTATAGCCCCAGCTACTAGGGAAGCTGAAGTGGGAGGATCGCTTGAGCCCAGGAGTTTAAGGTTATAGTGAGTTATGATCTATGTCAGTGCACCCCAGCCTGGGTGACAGAGTGAGACCTTGTCACAAAAGAAAAGAAAGAATAAAAAGAAAAAGAAAGAAACCTAAAACAGCCACTTTGTCTCTTCCAAATCCTACGCTATTCCATTTCTCTCCCTCATCGGAAGTCATCACTACCTAGAAATGTGTGTGTATATTTCCCGTGCTAGTCTGTATATGTATACTGTATACACATAAATTTATATGTAATACATACTATAATGATATGATGTTTTATTTGAATATATTTCTATAAAAATTTTCTATAAATATGTGATATTTATATATACAATATATTTGTTATATAAATGTTTCTATAAAATATATGCTATATATAACATGTTCTCTATATATTTAATATAAATATAAATATTCATACATACCCACCTACTGATAACTTTGTTTTTGTTTTTTCTGCCTTGTCTTGGATTTTAAAGTGTTTTCTTTATTTGTCTTTTTTAAAAAAACGTTTCGTGTCTATTATTTTAGTAACTCTCAAAATTTAAACTTGCATATAGCACCTAATGAAACAAAAGCTAATTAACATCTCCAACTTCCTTTCAAACAGCACAAGCATCTTATACCATATTAAATTCAGCCACGTCTTCCCATTTTCTCTGCTATTTTTGCATAGTATTATACTTGTTTTTAATGTTTTAACAAAAAATTGTTATTTTTATGTCAATGCATTTTCATAATTGACTATATATTTACTGATTTCTTCATT